ATGCAGACGCTGAAATTAATATTTTTTCTATGGATCAAGTTTTACTCCTCTTTAGGAAAACGTTTTCATGACCATCTTTCTTAGAAAAAGCAATGAATATCAGTAGAAGGGCCGAGGACGCTTTGCAAAAAGGCTGTTTATTTTAAAATAAAGCCGGTTCCCCACTACTAAGGGAAAAAAAAAAACCAACAGAATAATAGAACATAGGTAGAAAGAGTGACCTAAATTAAGGCATATACCTTGATGAGTGCGGTACGAGCCGTCTTCCGCAAATAAATACGGGCACAAATGTGCGTATCAGTCTACCTGGAACTAATTCAGTATTTTTCCTCGCACCTTTAGGGTCTTCGTCCGTGTCTTTGTCTGGTGATAATGTATCGCCAACAGACAGGTTCCGTATGCCTTTCATCAATTCATCGGCCTTGTCGTTTTCTGGTGCTTCTGTTTGAGGAGACTTAATTGTTCCATATTTACTTTTAATCTCGTCAATTGCTTCTTTTCTTTGGCAAACTAAGCCAGGAAAGCAATGAAACTTTCCTTTCTTTCAAAAATATGTCTTTGAAATCACATTTACTTGCTTTCATCAGGTCTATGAGGTTTGTAATTGTTTCATCAATTGAGAGTCCTTCCCACTCATTCTTTCCGGGAGTTGAGTTCTTTGTATCTTTTTACTCTTCGTCTCACTATTTCGAATAGAATTATCATATACACTTCTGAAGTTACGAATGGGTAATCAGCTATCTTTGAATTGTCCTTGAACAATATCGCGAGTTCTATAGCAAACGAAGAAACCATCACTACAGTTAAGTACAGATACAAAACACCATAGCTTTTCCTGGCTTCACCTTTTTGCCTGAAATCATCGAAGACAACCGCTTCATTGTCTTCCAGATAACATCAAATTTATGCCTGTTTAGACCTGTCGACATAGCAAAATTTCATCGGTCTAATTTTCAAAAAGGTCATGCAGAGTAACTTTCAAGAGGTTGTTTTATTCCCTTTACGCAAAGCATCGCTGTTTCTGAGGACACTTTCCCCCGAAAGAGATTGTCACAGCATCTCCCGGAATGTAATCCAACTAGATTACTCAACTCTAAACAAATCAAAATATGATTATACGTGGTTCTCTCTACTCTATCGCTACGTCTTAAAGTATTTCCCGATGTATCAGGTATTAGTTTTGGCGCGTTCAGGGTTGCCTGTGATGCGTTACGGCGATTACGCAAAAGCATTCGTTCCTATCTGAATAAGGCAGACATCTTTAAAATTACTTCAAGCAAGCCTGCACGCTTTTTATTTCGTAATACGCAAGTGAAAAAAACATCTTACGAGGTCAGGCGACATTGAGTCATTCCACTTAGAACAAGCTGATGTCGATACTTAACACTTTTGTAATTTGTGAACTACCTTTCAAACACCAGAATAAACCAGAATTATAACCGATTAAAAGATGATTCAGAAAACATCGGCTCTATGTATTACCCAAAATGTTTTATCAATCTCTAAAATGTTATAAAAGGAATCATTGCCGTGTATGAAAGAATACACGCGGCATATTCCCTCGCACATTCTTATTATTTTTTTTTTATTCTTTACTTCGGAAGTGTCTAAAAGTCTACACTAGTGACCACGTGTGACCACGAAAAACCACGGGTAAACACGAGTGACCGCGATTGATCACGGGTGACCACGAGTGAC